TGGGTCCCAGGGGTGAAGGTGCCGGTGAAACCTGGTGGGCAGCACAGGTGGACCTGCTCGTGCAGACTGCCCTGAAGAAACGCTGTAAAGAAGTCGAGGGAGTGCAGCTCGTAGTCACGCTGTGCTACCAAGGGCAGGTGCACCCTCGAAAGACGGAGGATGGGCAAGGTCAGAGACCAGAGGTGTGGCGTAGTCAAGGCAGCAGGTAGAGGCAAAGCTAGCAATAGCAGCAACAAGAGCCCCAAGACTGGAGACAGGAACGGACGGGTCGGTAACCAGAGAGGCGACAAGCGACGAAGGAAGTCTGAGAGAGGAGGAGGAGAGATAACAAGCGATGACTGAGAAGGTGACAGTAGAAGAGGAGCACAAGACACGTGAGAGCGGAGCAACATAGGGTGCGAGCGCTGGACAAGAGAAATAGGATGAGCACGAGAGGCACAGTGACACCACCTGTGGGAGGGACGGGTCGGGTCAGTAGACAAGGGAGGCGACACAAGAGGAGAACGCAAGGGGGGAAACACACCGAGGATGAGTCCGGTGGAGAAAACACATGGCCGTAGACAGGCAGAGGAGGCGACGGCTGGGGAGGCGCAGGCTGGCGGTCGGGGGAGGGAAGGCCCCGGAGGCGAAGGCGGACATCGGCGGCGTTTGCTGCTGCTGCTCCACGACAACGCCAGAACCTCCAGCTGCACCACGGCTACCTCCGGGATGCTCCACAACACCCCTAGAACGAGAACCATCTCCAGCACCCGTGGCACCCCCGGGACCGCCGGGACAAGCCACGACAGTACACTTAGGACTAGCACCCCCAGAACCAGCACCCCCAGAATGAGAACCCTCCCCAGCACTAGTGCCACCCCCATGACCGCCGGGATAAGCCACAACATTACCCCTAGGACTAGCACCCCCAAATCTTTACCCCCAGAACTAGCACCCTCCTCAATGCCCAGCCCCCAGAGCTGGCGGACACGTGTGGCGGCTGCTGCTTTGGCGGCAGTGACTGCAGCCGCTGCTGCGGCTACAACGGCAGAGACGGTGGCTGCTGCTGCGGCGGTGACGGTGGCTGCTGCTGCGGCGGCGGAGGTGGAGACACCGGGGCGGAGACAGGCAGCGAAAGCAAAGCCGTAGGGCCCCCGGAGTCAGTCGACTCCTCCACCGGGACAACCGACGGGAGGGGAGTGACGTGAGACACACCAGACGGGGTAGGACGGGGAGGGAGAGGAGCAGGTGCTACTGGGGGAGTAGGAACCAGGAACAGGGGCACGGTAATTGGGAGACCTCAGTCGGGAAAGCAGGCGTAGAAGGAGACAGACTCGTCAAAGTGACTTCACGAGAGTGAAAGAAACAGTGCGAGGGCGGGTGGTAAAAGTGCTAGTCAGAAGCGTCTAGGGGGAGGCTAAGGAAGACACAAGGGACAGTGCGGGTAGTGAGCTTATCCGTGCTAGAGGCACGAACGTGAGCAAGGCAGCCCCAGACGTGGAACGCTGACGCGTCACCAAGGGACGTGGTCTAAAGGAGGGTCGATGAAACCTGCAGCCGCTGGGAGTGTGGCCACAGCTTAAGCTGGTGAGCGGCGTAGCGAACAACGAACGACCACAGAAAATGGGGTGCACCAGCATGGATCATGGAGGTACGAGCCACCTCCATGACCAAACCGATGCATCACTCAGCGACCCCATTCTACTGCGGGGAGTCCGGCAGGGTGTACGACTGGTTGATGCCCTCCGCACGACAGAACTAGCCAAGCCGACCGGAGGCAAACTCGCCGCCACGGTGGGAGTGAAGTCACATCACAGGGAGGTTACGGTGGATTCGCGCAGCTACGACCCACAGGATGAGAATGGCAGGCACGCCGGCCTTCCGCTTGAGGGGATACACCGTGGTGTAGCGTATGTAGTCATCGAGAAGCACTAGAAAGTAGCGCTCTCGATGCGGCCCAGGGACGGGGGCTTGGCCCTAGATGTTCATGTGCAGAGTCTGAAGTGGTGCATAGGTAGGGGGAAGCGAGGAGGAGTGAGGAGCACAGCGCAGCCGGCCCTCGACGCAGGGCGTGCACAGTAGCACAGGGGAGGGAGGGAGAGCAGGGAGTGACACAGGGAGACCTAAGACAAGACAGTGGTGGGACATGTGACGTAGATGCGGGAGTGCGGGTTGACCTAAGCGGTGGTGCCACAGAAGCGACGGGTGAGTGAGCGACCGATGCGAGCAAACCGCAAGGACCTGGGTAGACGCAATCAACTGGGGGGATGACCTCAACGGGGGGGGCCCACTATCAAGTGTAAACAGGCTAGACACCAGGTCCTGGGGGAACGTTGTGAGAGGGGCACCAGTGGTGGCCTTGGTACAGACCGCGTACCGCTCGTGTCCGGGGAACGTAGTGGTGACGCCGAGGTCCTGAAGACAGCTGACACCAACTAGGTACCTGCAGAACGAGGGGATGTGCAGGCCTATAAGAGAGCTCGAGGGAACCGCCGGACAGGGAAGGGTGGTGGAGCTACGGGCAACTACCTGACCTAAGGAGGGGTTAGCAAGCGCGACAACGACAGGGGCGGCAAGTGGCGTGAGTGCAGTGTGGTCTCGGAAGAAGCAGACAGACGCTCGAGATTCTAGCGTGAAGGAGATCGAAGCAATAGCGTCAGCCGGTGGAGGGGATATCGTGGAGCCTAGGCCAAGCAAAGCAGAAGGTCCTATGCCTGACATAGCAGGGAAGCCTACACTACACACAGGAGGCACACCTATACTAGGTAACATAGGGTAATAAGGTGGTCACAGTAGAGTCATCAGCATACATGGCATGCAAAGCAGAGCAAATCTGATCCATATCCATCTCAAAGACAGGCACATGGAGACGCACCAGACTGGGCCAGTCGGGAAGGTCCAGCGTAGGGCCAAAGCAAAGACGGAAGAGGTTGTCGAGGCGGTGGAAGCAGCGAGCGGTGGTGTAACTTGGATAGCCACACACAGTGCCATGAAAGGGGCCACTCAGGAGCTTGTACTTGCAACCCACAGCGCTGAAGCCGCCACCCAACGCCGAGCTGCGAGGGCCGCCACTGCGGCCACCATCACCAAAGGCGTTGGGCCACCCTGGCGAGAGGCGGCCCCACAGGTGGTGGTGCTGCTGCTGCTCCGAGGGATCAAAACCCGGTCTCCTCGTCGGTACCGCCGGCACTCGCACCACCCCCACCACCACTGCCACCCCCACCATCCCTCCCTCCGCCACGCCCCCCCTTGGGGTGGCGGCCCTTACCCTGACGAGGCTGCGCCGAGGCCGCTGCGGCGGCGGTCTCAGCAGCAGGGACTGTCTCAGCGACAGCGGCTGAAACGTGCTTCCTCCCAGTGCACTGGGAGGAAGCACAAGCCTGGAAGATAGGGACCGCCTTAGTACCGCTAGACTGAGCGATAGTGCGCTGGCGGGTCTCTATCGTAGACAGGGTGGTGACAAAGGCAATAAGGATGAGGTCACCTGGGTGCTGACGGCGGCACGGCAACCCAGCGGCATGGCAGCACGACGACACGGCGGCACTGTGGCACGGTGGCACGACGACATGACAGCACTGCGGCATGATGACACGGTGGTACGACGACACGACGGCACTGCAGCACAGCGGCATGGCGTCACGATGACACAACGGCACGACGTCACGACGGCATAGCGTCACAGCGGTTCGACGCGGTGGCACGGCGGGACGGGGGTCGGTGCGAACTGGGGCTGGGGAGCGAGGGGCCGGCAAGCTAAGGGGCCGGCGAGCGAGGGGCCAGCGAGCAAGGGGCCAGCGAGCGAGGGGCCGGCTAGTGAAGGGCTGGCGAGTGAGGGGCCGGCGAACTAGGGGCCAGCGAGCTAGGGGCCGGCGAGCGCGGGGCCGGCAAGCGCGGGGCCGACGAGCGGGGGGCCAGCGAGAGTAGGGCCGACTTGCGTATCGGTACTTCTTGCAGCGATGACACTCCATTATTAGTGCAACCGTTTACGCGTATTTTTGTTTCGCTGTGGAACGGAACGCGCTGCTTGATTTGTATTGTAGTACGCATAGAACGTATATCACGGCTTTCCATCGAATGTCACTACTGGGTACGTGGTTGGCATGACAGTATTGAAAGGACATACATAGATTACGCACCGACAATGTGCCCGTTACGGAAAACGCCACATAAATTTTCCAAATGTTGTACATGCATACGGGTACCGCATGTGAAGCCAAGCTAGTTCTTATGATTTCACCATGATTTGTAAGGGAGGTAGGGATAAAATTGGCCTCAAAACATACTTTTAACATTACAAAATCAGGGTATACTAAAAAAAATGGTTGCTGGCAAGGGTAATCAGGGTATTTTACCTTTTAATATTTGGCCTCTCCCTTGCAAATGCGATGTATTATACATATGTGTCAACTTATACATATGTTATATGTATAGCTATATGCTAGATGGGTAAGTGCTCCTAAAGAGTACAACACCAACTCCTATAATATATTCCACATGTATGCCCTGCAAGAGTTCACTTCGCTATTCTAACATGGTATCACGTTAGGTAGGTCTCACCCATCCGCGCTTCCGTCCTAGCCTACCATAACCTTAGAGCGCCCCGCCCTTAGCACGCCACGCCAGGCCCTAGCGCGCCGCCGCGCTGGCCCCCAGCTCGCCGCGCCGGCCCCAGCTTGTCGCCGGCCTCTGCTCCACGCGACGACCCCAGCTCGCCGCGCCGGCACCTGCTCGCCGCACGGGCCCCAGCTCGTCGTGCCGGCCCCTGCTCGCCGCGCTGGCCCCAGCCCGCGCTGGCCTCTGCTCGTCGTGCCAGCCCCAGCCCGCCACCGGCCCCTGCTCGCCGCCGGCCCCTGCTCGCCGCGCTGGTCCCTGCTCGTTGTGCTGGCCCCTACTCGGAGTGCTCGGCCTCTACTCGCAGCCGACCCCAGCTCCACCGCTCTCCACCGCACTCCACCACACTCCACCACCCTCCACTACACTCCACTACTCCCCACCGCACTCCACCGCTCCCCACCGCCCTACGCCGCACTTGCATGCTACTGGTTCCTACTCCTCCTCCTCCTCCTCCCCCTCCTCCTCCTCCTCCTCCTCCTCCTCCTCCTCCTCCTCCTCCTCCTCCTCCTCCTCCTCCTCCTCCTCCTCATCCTCCTCCTCCTCCTCCTCCTCCTCCTCCTCCTCCTCCTCCTCCTCCTCCTCCTCCTCCTCCTCCTCCTCCTCCTCCTCCTCCTCCTCCTCCTCCTCCTCCTCCTCCTCCTCCTCATGTGTCCTCAGATGCTGCAGCTGTGCTATCGTGTGGCCACTGCTGGTGAGCCGCAGCCGCCTCTGCTGACACGCAGGCGCCATGGCGGACGTCGTCCTCCGCCTGAACGCTGAGGGCGTGGCTCACGACCTGCGCTGCCAGCTGAAGGGTCAACACTAGGACAGCCAATCTCTGGCCGTCCATGTTGACAGTAAGCTGCCCTGCCCCCCTGCGCCTGCTGACCTTGCTGCCACCGCCACGTTTTCTGAGCGTGAGGCTTTCGCAGCTGCTGAGATTGCTCTCTCTCTCTCTCGGAGTCTCGTGACGCCACTGCGCAGCTAGCTATTAGTGACGCCCTCATGCTATCCAAGCGTCCCCGCTTTCAGGCCATAGAGACTGCGAAGGAGTATCTAAGCGCTGTTTTCGCTCGCTATTCCAGTCCCTCCTCAAATTCTGCTGGCCATCTCCACCTGCCCTTGCTCTTCCCAGACCTAGCTTCATTCCCCACTGTCGCTGATCTTGCCAACCATTTGTGTCCTCTCGAGACTAGCTACCGCGCTGCTTGCACTGAGGCTCAGCTCAATGTACCCCCCCCTCCCATCGGCGCCACCCTTTATTTCCTTGCCACACGCCTCCCTGACCGCCTAGCCACCGTCCGTGACACCTTCCTTATTCTCCACCTCGCTAACCTCACCCTTGACGAATTTGTCGCCACCCTGCCGGCGATAGAGGCCCGCCAACGCACTATCGCTTAGTTTAGAGGTACTGCGGCGATCCCTATCTTCCAGGGTTGTGCTCCCTCCCAGAACATTTACTCTGACGCTTCTGCCGCTGTTGCTGAGACAGCCACTGTCGCTGAGACCACTGCGGCGGCCTCAGCGCAGCCTCGTCAGGGTAGAGACCCTCGTCGCCCCAAAGGGGGGCGTGGGGGAGGGAAGGGTGGTGGGGGTGGTGGGGGTGGTGGGAGTGCTCAGGGTGCAGACGAGGGGGTGGAGGCTGACGCCCCAGAGCAGCAGCAGTAGCTTCAGCAGCAGCCGCATCAGCTGCATCAGCAGCAGCAATAGTAGGGGCCCTCGCCGCCAAGGTGGCCAGGAGGCTTCGGTGGTGGTGGCTGCGGGGGCAGCCCTCCCAGTTGGAACTCGGGTGGTGGCTTCAGTTCGGTAAGTTGTGAGTCCCAGATTCCGTCTGGTCTTCTCCGTGGCACCGTCTGTGGCCACCCTGGTCACACCGCCGCTCGCTACTACCGCCGCCTCGACGACCTCTTCCGTCTCCGCTTTGGGCCCTCGCCGGCCCTCCCAGACTGGCCGAGCCTGGTACGTCGCAGTGTGCCGGTCTTTGAGATGGATATGGATCAGATAGGATCTGCTATGTACGTATACTACGTATGCGTGTACTCTAGAGTTACTGGACCAAATTTGTACTCTGCTGTGCCTAGACTAGGAGCTTTTGTTGTGTGTAGTCTAGGCTCTCCTTCTGCATCAGGCGTAGGACCCGCTGACAGACATGTAGGACCTCCAGACTTGTGTAGTCCTGGTTGCACACTTGCGCCCCCACCGACCGACGCTACTGCCACACTCTCCTTCACGTTGGAATTTCGTGCATCCGTCTGTTCTTTCGTGACCACACCACTCTCGTGCCGCTTTCTGCACCGGCAACGGTCTCTCTTGCAAACCCCTCCTCTAGTTCGGTAGTCGCACACTGCTCAACCACACTTCCCTGTTCGGCTATTCCCTCCGGCTATCTTATAGGTCTGTGCATCTCCTCGTTCTCGCGAAACCTGGTTGGTGTAGGCCGACTTCAGGACCTCGGCGTCACCATCACATTTTCTGGATACGAGCGGTACGCAGTTTGTACAGAGGCCACCACTGATGCTCCCCTCACCATGTTTCCCTAGGATCCTGCGTCTGGCATGTTTATGCTGTACATCGCACCCCCCAAGGTGGCTGTGTCTACAAAGGTTGCTGTGGCTTGCTCGCGTAGGTCACTTACTCACTCGTCGCTAATGTGGCACCACAGTCTAGATCACCCCGCACTCTAGCGTCTACGTCACATGTCCCAGCACGGTATTGTCTTAGGTCTCCCTGGGTTGCTCCCTGCCCTCCCTCCCTCGTCCGCGCCTCCATGCACGCCTTGCGTCGTGGGGCGACAGCACGCTGCTCCTCACTCCTCCTCGTTTCCCCCCACCACTACGCCACTTCAGAACCTGCACCTGGACATCTGGGGCCTAGCCCATTCCCTGGGCCACGCCGCGAGCGCTACTTCCTGGTTCTCGTGGACGACTACTCACTCTACACCACGGTGTTTCCCTTGGAGCAGAAGGCCGACATTCCTGACGTTCTTATCCCTTGGCTTGTAGCTGCTCGAGTCCACTGCACCCAGCCTGTGCTCTGCCTACACTCGGACTGTGGAGGCGAGTTCACCTTCGGTCGGGTTGACCAGTTCTATCGTGCAGAGGGCATCACCCAATCGTACACTCCCAGAATCCCCATAGCAGAATGGGATCGCTGAGCGACAAATCGGTTTGGTCATGGAGGTGGCTCGTACCTCCATGATCCATGGTTGTGCACCTCATCTTCTATGGTTGTTCGGAGTCCACTACGCCGCGCGCCAGCTTAACTTGTGTCCTCCCGCTTCGCGCCTGCAGGTTTCGTCGACCTTCCTCTGGACCGGGTCCCCTGGTGACACGTCTGCGTTTCACGTCTGGGGTTGCCTAGCTCACGTCTGCGACTCTCGCGCGGACAAGCACACCGCCCGCACTGTCCCTTGTGTCTTCCTTGGTTCCCCCCTTGACGCTCCTGACTGGCACTTTTACTGTACCACCCGCCGTCTCACCGTTTCCTCCACTCGCATGTCATCACATTTGACGAGTCTCTCTCCTTCTACACCCGCTTCCCCCATCGAGGTCTCCCCAATACCCTGCCCCTGTTCCTTGTCCCCACTCCCCCGGTAGCTCCCACTCTCCTCCCTTCCCGTCCTGCCCTGTCTTGTGTGTCTCACGTCACTCCTCTTCCCTCGGTTGGCCCGGTGGAGGAGTCTACTAACTTTGAGGTTCCTGGGGCTCCGGGTGCGCCGTCTATTTCTGCGGTGCCTGCACCCCCGGCCCCCGTGCCTCCGCTGCCATAGCAGCAGCAGCAGCCGCAGTAGTCGCCGCCGCCGCAGCAGCAGCCGCAGCCGCCGCAGCAGCAGGAGACGGTGGGCTCTGGGGGTGTTGGCGCTAAGGGTGCTGGTTCTGAGGGAGGTGCCAGTTTTGAGGGTGCCAGTCCTAGGGGTGCTGGTCCTGCAGGTGCTGACTCAGCGAGTACCAGCGGTAGCAGCGGTGGGGCTGGAGATCTTGGTGTGGGCACGGAGCAGCAGCAGCAGCGGCAGAGGCAGCAGCAGCCGCAGCAGCCACTGTCCGCCCTTCGCCTCCTCGGTCTTCCCTCCGCCTCCCTCGACCGACCGCCTGTGCCTCCCCCCCCACCGCCTCCTGAGACAGCAAGTGTCGAGAAGATCTCGACCATCCATCTTGCAGTTGAACCACCTCGATCATGTCAGTAATGGTCGAGAATATCTCGACTGCTTTCCGAGGCACGGAACTGACTCTGTTCATAGCACTAATACAAGATTGGTCAAGGACGCCTGGCACTACTGCTCGATCAATCTCCCACCGTTTTCAGAGGCACCAAACTGACCCTTCAGAGTGCGCAATCTCTGTAGCAGATTCCTCATTAGCAGATGCTCGGTGAAGTTCTGGCCGCAGCGTGCCTGTTACTGTCAAAACATATCTTAGTATGTTATTGTAGACTGTATAGGTTTGTGCCTTAGAGGGTACAACACTAGCCTATATTATCTTGTACTCTCACATTCTAGATCATTCTATCATTCAAACATGGTATCATGAGTAGGTTAGGTCCCGTTCGCCCACCAGCGCTTCCGCCCTAGGTCCTAGCCACCCATTCCCCCTAGCCGGCCCGTGCCCGTCTCGTAGCCGGCCCCATGCCCGCCCCGTTGCCAGCCCGCGCCCTTCTCGTAGCCAGCCCCGCGCTCCTCCCGCGCCCGCCCCGTAGCCGGCCCCGTCCCGCGCCCGTCCCGTCCCGCGCCCTTCTTGTAGCCGGCCCCGTGCCCTTCTCATAGCCGGCCCCACGCCTGTTCCGTCCCGTGCCCGCCGCGTAGCCGGCCCGTGCACGTCCCGTAGCCGCGCTCGTCTCGTAGCCAGCCCCGTGCCCGCCTCGTAGCCGGCCCACGCCTTTCTCGTAGCCAGCCGTGCCCTTCTCGTAGCCAGCCCCGCGCCCGTCCCGTCACTGGCCCGCGCCTGTAGCCGGCCCGTCCCGTAGTCCGCCTCGTCCCAAGCCCGTCCCGTAGCCGGCCTCGTCCCGAGCCCGTCCCGTTGCCGGCCCGCGACCTTACCCATACCCGGCCCGCGCCCGTAAGCTGCGCCAGTTCTGTGTCCGCACCCGTTTCGTAGCCGGGACTAGCGCCCGTCCTAGCCGGCCCGCGCCTGCCCCGTCACTGACCCGCGCTCGTCCCGTAACTGGCTTGCGCCCGCCCTATTTCCGGCCCCGCCGTCGCCGGTCAGCGCCGGCCTTTCCAGCACTACGGCTCCGTCGCCCAGCTGCCCCTGACGTGCAACCGGCCCTTGCACAGTGCTGCATCGCGCTTCTCTGCGCTACACCGCTCAGCACCGCATTGCACCGCTTTGCACTTCTCTGCACCGCGCTGCACCGCACTGTACCGCACTGCACCGCACAGCACCGCACTGTACCGCATTGCACCGCACTGCACTGCATTGTACCGCACCGTACCGCACTGCACCGCACTGTACTGCACTGCACCGCACTGTTCTGCACTGCGCTGCTGCTGCATCGCTCCTGATTGCGGACTCTGTGCTACGCTTTGACGCGGAGGGTCAGCCGATCGAGTTCGACACGTGGCTCGTCGACCTCCGCCGTTCAGCTCACTGGTCAGCGGCAGGATAGCCACTCCTTGGCTGTCCACCTTGATGGTACGCTCCCCTGCCCTGACCCCCCTACTAACCTGCCCGCTGACCCCACGTCTGCTGACCGTGAGTCCGCTGCCGATGCTGCCCTTGCTCGTGCAGTCTGGTTGTTGCGTGACGCCGTAGCGTAGCTCGCAATCAGTCATGCCCTTCCCCTGTCTGAGCGTCCACGCTTTAGGTCGTTCACGACTGTGCACACATTCCTAGAGGCTCTTATTGCGCGCTATTCCACCCCATCCGCTGCCTCCATCGGTCGTCTGATCCTGCCCCTGCTGTTTCTTGACCTCGCGTCTTTCCCCACTGTCGCTGACCTAGCCGCCCACTTGCCCACGCTAGACTCGACCTGGTGCTCAGCCTGCACTAAGGCCCAGCTCCGCGTGTTCCAGCCCCCTCTCTGTGCTACCCTCTACCTGCTTGCTACCCGCCTCCCTGATCGCCTTGCTACTGCCCGCGATCGTTTTCTTAGTCTCCACCCCGCTGACCTCACCCTCACTGACTTTGTCAACACCCTGTCTGCCATAGAGACCCGCCAGCCCTCCATCGCTCAGTCCAGCGGTACTGTGCTGGTCTCTATCTTTTAGGGCTGTGCGCCCGCTCAGTGCACTTTCTCTGACGGCTCTGCTGCTGTGGCTGAGACAGCCGCTGCAGCGCAGTTTCGTCCGGAAAAGGGCCGCCGCCCCAAGGCTGGGCGCGGCGGTGGTAGTGGAGGCGGTATGGGTGGAGGCGGTGGTGGAGCCGGATCGCCCGCAGGGGGTGCGGATGAGGGTGCTGGGTCTGGCACCACCGAGCAACAGTCTCAGCAGCAGCAGCCAGTTCCACCGCAGGATCAGCAGCCGCCGCAGCAGCAGCCGCAGCAGCCACTGCAGCAGCAGCAGCTGCGTCAGTAGCAGCAGCGGCGCGTTAGTCGTCTCCTGCCCGGGTGGCTCAGAGCTGGTGGTGGCGGCGGTCACAGTGGCCGCGCGTGCGGCATGACGTCGGGTGGTGGCTCCGGCGACGGGCGCTGCCAGTACCAGCTCCAGACCGGTCCTCGCCGTGGCCTTGTGTGCGGTAAGATCGGTCACACCCCCACCCGTTATTTTAGTTGCCTGGACGACCTGTTTCGTCTTCGCTTCGGCCCGTCGCCCGACCTCCCCGACTGGCTCAGCTTGCTCCGTCAGGGTGTTCAGATCTTTGATATGGACATGGATGAGATTAGCTCTGCGTTGTATGCGCTGTATGTCGATGACTCTAGTGTGATTGTTTCCGTTTACCCAGTGTTGCCTTGTGTAGGTGTGCCTAGTTCCGACTCCTCTGCTGCGTCAGGCGTAAGATCTCCTACTTTGTTTAGCCTAGGTTCCTCTCTCACTCCTACGGCTCCTACCACCACAGCCGCACTCTCATTCACCCTTGACTCCGGTGCTTCTCGGTGCTTCTTCCGAGACTCCACTACTCTCACGCCGCTTACAACTCCCACCGCAGTTTCCCTGGCCGACCCTTCCTCCGGCCCTGTCGTAGCTCGTAGCTCCACTACCCTTCCTTGTCCGGCGGTTCCTTTCTATGGCCGTTCGCTATGCTGCCCACCAGCTTAACTTGTGGCCGCACCCCCAGCAGCCGCCGGTTGCGCCGACCCTTCTCTGGACCGGGTCCCCTGGTGACGCGTCTGCGTTCCACGTTTGGGGCTGCCTTGCTCACGTTCGTGCCTCTGGCACGGACAAGATCACTGCCCGCACCGTCCCCTGTGTCTTCCTAGGTTCCCCCCTCGACTCGTCTGACTGGCACTTCTACCACCCGCCGTCTCACCGTTTCTTTCACTCTCGTGACATCACCTTTGACGAGTTCGTCTCCTTCTACCACCGCTTTCCCCACTGTGGTCCCCCGGTTACTCCCCCCCTGTTCCTGGTCCCCCCTCCCCCGGTAGCCTCTGCTTCCCCACCTCCCCGCCCTGCCCCGTCTGGTGTGTCTCACGTCACCCCCCTCCTGTCGGTTGTCCCGGTTGAGGAGTCTGCTGACTCTCGTGGCCCTGCGGTGCAGTCCTTGCCGCCTGCCCCCTTCTCAGTGTCTCCTCCTCCGCCTTCGCAGCCGCAGCCGTCGTCGCAGCCGCAGCCGCCGTCGCAGCCGCCGTTGTCGCCACCGCAGTAGCAGTTCGTGTCCTCTGTGGGTGCTGGCACTGAGGAGGGTGCCCATCCTACAGTAGGGCTCCTGTCGCTGCGTGTCCCAGTGGGCCTAGGGGTGCTGCCGGTGCTGAGGGGGTCTCTAGTACTGGGGGTGTTCCTTCTGGGGGTGCTGGAGTGGAGTGTTCCGGTTGTAGCCATGGAGCACCTGGCGGTCCAGGTGTCGGCGTTGTGCAGCCGCAGCAGCACCGATCGCCACCGGTGACTGCCCTCCGCTTGCTCGGCCTTCCCTCCCCTGACTGCGCATCTGATCCTCTCCTACCGTCTCCTCCTCTTCTTGTCTACGGCCCTTTGTTCCCTCCTCCAAACTCGTCTCCGACTCGTCTTCCCCCTCTTTCCCCTCGTGTGTCCCCTCCCCTGTCTCCAGACCCGACGCCCCCATCGCACGTCTGGGCTCGCCGTCCCTCTCGTGCGCGTCCGGTCTCCCCTGTCCTGC